TTGAGGATATTAGAAACTTGTAGATTGGGAATATGACACGTGGATCTTCCCGAATTGGATTTGTAAGTGCGGAAAATAAAATGTTGACCTCTACTTGAATTGGAAATTGACGGAGATCCAACCGTTGGATCGTAATGAAACTTTAGTATGATATTTTAGGAGCAAACTTTGGATCTTTGGAAGTTACGGATCGGAAATCCGAGATACAGATCTTTCGGATTGAGTTACGTAGGGTTGTGGACACTACCGTTGATCTTTGACTGATTGACTTTTGGTCAATGAGTCTCAAATCATTCTAGAACGTCATTGGGATGTGTTTTATGTAAGTTATGTGTTCTATTGAAAGAGTTCTGAGACGTGACTGAATAATTGTTCTAGGTGAGGATTGTTCGTGACGTCTTGATATTCGTGCTAGGGAGTTGTAGTGCGGACCTCAGGTGAGTGGGTCATTTCCTTTTATCGTATATATGTCCTTGATGGTTCCACAAAATGCTTTTAAATTGATTTATGCATTTCATGCCGTGTCATATATATATTTGTATATTCTAAAATACTATGATATGGTTGAGGTTTAGATTGCATTGTCATACAGGTTGCATTAGCCAACTCCGACTCAGGTGTTATCATGGATTGCTTTATGAGTCGTACAGGTTGCATTAGACAACTCTGACTTAGGTGTTATCATGGATTGCTTTATGAGTATAGGTTGGGTTACGCAACTTCGACTCGTGGGTTACCATAGATTGATGAGCACATGATTTATATTGTTGTTGCCGATATGTAGTGATTTGGAATATTCTTGGATTTACTATTGACTTACATTTGATTTCATACTTATATGTAGTATGAATTCCTGGAACCTATACAGGTATTACAGCGAGATGTTATATCGTTTAAAAGGTTTGTATTAAAGCTTTATATTCTGGCTCACTCACTCTTGTTTTTACCCCTCTAGGTTCTAGTAGCAGAGATTTCGTATCAACGAGGATTCGTGGCAAGTCTTGGAATTGAAGATTACATTCGACGGTATGATTTTCAATCCACTCTATTGTATTTTATTTATACTCTGACGTCACATGTGAAATGGGGTCATTCCCGCTTACATCGCACTCTCGTGTTTAGGCACTTTTAAGTTTAAATTTATTCACATATTCCACATCACCACACTTTATGGCTTCGTCACCTTCCAGGTGTTGGCCAACACATCTCAATTCAGAGTCCTAGTGAATGATCTGGGTCAGAATGTGCCAAAACGTGCCTAATATATGTAACAATACATGAAAAATAATTTACCTACAATTAGAGAAGTATTATTGATAGGAGCATATTCATGCGACTTAAATGGCTTGTTCTCGTACGTTTACGTTATGTTTCTCTAGTTATTTTAGTCCTTTATGCTTCTTTTGTGTGTTTTCAGGTTCTAAGGGCTTAGGGAGCAAGAAAGTGCATTTTGAGGCTATTTGGAGCATTTTTGGGCATGGATTGGATAGCTTAATCATGGAGCAAAGAGGATGGACGAAATTGAAGCCTTGTATGCTCTTTGGGGACATCAAACAAAGGGCCTAGCCCAATCAAACAAATCCTTTGAGCCATGGAAAACCTCTAGCCCAATCAAACATATTATGCCATGCAAACCAACCTATTTTAGGCCCATTCTATGTACTTAAACCCTAGCCCTTTAAACTAGCCCTATTATGATTTATTCACTTCCATACTCTTCTTAATTCCACATGCATTCACACACATGCACATCATTCACTCACATTACCTAGCCACATGCTTTCCAAGCTTTCCCCCTTAATCATTAAGCAAAACATTCACACACATGCACCCAAAACACATTGCCGTGCAATGTGTTTCCATTTTCTGCACCTTTCCTCCTTGCAAACACATGCATTCATCATTATAACCCACCTACATTCTACCTAATCCACATGCCTTCCCAACAATATAATTGAGCCAACACATGCATCCAAACAAAGCCAACCTAGCTAACCCTACATGCATTTCTTTATTCATTCTTCATCACATGCATTTTCACCACCATTCACACACACATTCACCCTTTGTGCCGTGCCTTCCCTCTCCTATTTCCAACCACATTCTTCCACTTCCCACTTCATCATTACACCACCTAATCCACATGCACTCCCATCCATTTCATCATTGCATTCATCACCAAAGAACCAACAACAATGCCGTGCATTACTCATCAATTCAAGCCACATTCCACATGTTTTCACAACCTAATTCACATGCACATTCAGCCACCTTTCTCCCAAAAACAGTGCACATGCATTCATTATTCATTCACTTTGCATTCCCTTTACATATACACCCCACATGTCCCTTTCCATCATTCAACACATGCATCACAACCCCAAAACTAACACAAAACAACTCAATGCCGTGCACTCCTTTAGCATTTCCAGCTTTTCCCTTTACATTTCACATGCATTCCATACTTCTCCTAGCTATTTTCCATCATTATTTCAGCCACCATTCACTCTTTAACCCACACACACTTCACACAAACAACATTCACATGCATTCACATGCATTTCCAACACAAAACACACTCAAAACCGTGGCCACCTTTGCATTTCAGCATTCCCATTTGCATTTTCAGATTTCCAGCTTTCCAACCTAGCCAAGTCACATGCATTCATTCATAATCATTCACCAAACATGCAGCCACATTTCCACCCACCTCCTAGCTGTCATGTTCCCTCCATTACTCCTATAAATACCCTTGCATTCATTCATTCATATATCATTCCATTCACAACACAAACACACATCCCTTGCCGTGCATATCCTTCCATTTCTGTGCAGTTTTTCTCCTCCATTGCAGCCACTATCCAACCACTTCCCATCCCTCCAAAACACTTCACACCATCACACAACCTATCCTTAGACCTTGTGCTACAACAACGAGGAAAAGAAGAGTGCCTAAACGTTCATACAATTCAAGTTTGAGTTGTTGGAATGTTTAGGTGTTTCTTTGATTTCAATGTTTAATTTCAATTCTCTTTGTTTTGTAAGTATGAGGAACTAAACCCCCCTTAGCTAGGGGGTGATTCGAAATATATGTTTATGCTTGCAATATGATTTGATTACTTTTAATTACGTTTCATAAGTTGTGAATTCAATTTGTTTAACTATTTGATTGATATCCTATTTATGTATGTTTATTAAGAATGAACGCTTAATTTTCATGCATGAATATGACGCTAGAATATAAGTGAGTTTCACGTAATAGTTATGAACTTATATTCACAAGTAGTGGAGGTTGCTTATAAACAATCGCGTTAAACAAATTCTTGGCATAAGTTTCATGCAATCATAGTAACGAATGCCTCGTCAACACTTATAGTTTTCATGTTGCTTAATGATTCTTGCTTGTATCTCTATTATGCAATTCATGTAGGGAACTTGTGAGGAATGCTTTGGATTGTCGTATGCAATCATCCAATTCATTAACTTAAGGAAAACTTGACGGTTAATTTAAGCGGACCTAATTAACCCGGGGCGTTGAGAATTCATGGTTTATTGAAAAGCAATTAGACATCGTTTTGTATGCAAGTATAACATATGTGGAGATGAACCCCTTAGCTAGCTTCCCATCCATTCATTTCCGTCAAATCCATATTTACAATCTATTTTGTTTCCAAGTATCCATTTTAGTTTAAATTCGTCCAAATCCAATTCCCCCCTATTTCGTTGAAGTCTTAGTCTTAATCTTTCTTATTTTTAGTTTTGCTTTCTTCGAGCATTAAATAGTGTTTTATATTGTGTTTTTACGTTTTTAAGTCAAATCCAAGTGATAAACAATGTCACATCCCGGCCCGGGGCGGATCACTTCCCGGGCCCGCTCCACTACCGTAGCACGATATTGTCCGCTTTGGGCTTACTATTCCCTCACGGTTTTGTTTTTGGGAACTCACGAGCAACTTCCCAGTGGGTCACCCATCATGGGATTGCTCTAGCCCCCTTCTCGCTTAACTTCGGAGTTCCTACGGAACCCGAAGCCAGTGAGCTCCCAAAAGGCCTCGTGCTAGGTAGGGATGGGATATACATATAAGGATCACTCCCCTGGGCGATGTGGGATGTCACAATCCACCCCCCTTAGGGGCCCGACGTCTTCGTCGGCACACTCGCGACCAGGGTTAGGCTCTGATACCAAATTGTCACATCCCGGCCCGGGGCGGATCACTTCCCGGGCCCGCTCCACTACCGTAGCACGATATTGTCCGCTTTGGGCTTACTATTCCCTCACGGTTTTGTTTTTGGGAACTCACGAGCAACTTCCCAGTGGGTCACCCATCATGGGATTGCTCTAGCCCCCTTCTCGCTTAACTTCGGAGTTCCTACGGAACCCGAAGCCAGTGAGCTCCCAAAAGGCCTCGTGCTAGGTAGGGATGGGATATACATATAAGGATCACTCCCCTGGGCGATGTGGATTGTCACATCCCGACCCGGGGCGGATCACTTCCCGGGCCCGCTTCCACTACCGTAGCACGATATTGTCCGCTTTGGGCTCCGACCACGCCCTCACGGTTTTGTTTCTGGGAACTCACACGAGAACTTCCCAGTGGGTCACCCATCATGGGATTGCTCTAGCCCCCTTCTCGCTTAACTTCGGAGTTCCTACGGAACCCGAAGCCAGTGAGCTCCCAAAAGGCCTCGTGCTAGGTAGGGATGGGATATACATATAAGGATCACTCCCCTGGGCGATGTGGGATGTCACAAACAATCCCTCCTAATCCCCGGTCCAGAACGATCCCTACTTATACACTTCACTACAATTGACAAAAAGAGGGTTTAATTTGTGTGCGCATAATTCTCGCATCAATTATTTGATTCAAAATATATAATATGGATTTAGTATAATTTTTTTTTAATAATTGGAACAAATTAATTTACTTCCCAATTAATGCAATATATATATATATATATATATATATATATATCTCAATAAAGGTAAATTTTTGGTATGATACGGATATAATTAATGCAATACAATAGTTTATATATTTTATTTCATTTTTTCTACATCTTTTAATTTGGAATAAATTTAGGGATTTGGGAAAGTGGTATGGGTGTAAATAAAATGTATTAGTAGGTCAATAGTGTTTCGATGTGACTGCATATTTTAAATTTAGATTTTTATTGAATGTTTATATGTAGATGAGTTTTTATCTAAAAATCATGAATTGTAAGGGCTAAGATCTAAAGCACCAACATGATCAAAATGATGGGATTCAAAAGGAACGTCCATTTCTAACTTCCAGGGACAAGATTAGAAACGTAAAACAGAAAAAGGTTAAGTTCGGAAATAGAAAAGCGTTGGCGGTGGAGCAGGAGCAAAAAATAAGCCAAATCAAGTAATCAATCATCAACCACGAAAAAGAAAGAGAAAAAGAAAAAAAAGGAAGAAGAAGGAGGTTGGGGGATCGAAATCGAATAGAGAAGGGGAGCCAGCGAGAGGTTAGGGCGCTACAGATTGGATTGGGGGTGGTTGAAAGTAGTAAATAGCATTACACATTTTTTATTACAAGAGTGGGATAAAAACTTGTTCTTCTTCTCTTTCTCACGCTCCCCCCCCACCCCCCCTTCTGTTCGTCTCCCTGAATGCCTTACCAGTGTTCAGGGTAACAACTACAATTACAGCAACTTGTTCATCTCTGTCGATTTCTTCCTTTCTCTCGATTTCCTTACGTATAAATTGTTGTGCATGTTTCAGACTATCGTGGCGATTTATGTGCGGAGGAGCGAGGGAGAAATAGGTTGCTTCTTCAATTCAAATTTTTATCTGTACATGTATATTTTGTTTGTTGGTTTCATTTAGGTGTTACGTTGTGATTTTTTGGGTTGGTAATTGGAATGTAATGAAATTATTATCAATAAATAAATAATGAAAGCAAATATATATATACATGCAGGAGGTTGCGACGTAACGTATTGATGCGAAATGGAGACAAGTTGGTGTGTAACTTTGGTCATTCACAAAGTATGAGATTGAATTCGTTCCAGCATATTTGCCACTCTCCGGTCAGATCATTAATTCACGTCTTTCTGTACAGGGTCTTTCTTTCTTTTATTTCCACAATTTACATGTTAATGTTCTCTTGCTCTCCTCAACCAATTTCTTTTCTTTCTTTCGTTCTTTCGTTCAATAGATTTGCTCAAGAAAAAAATAATCGTATCAAGTTACTCAGTTTTTAACATTGGACATATGATCGTGTCAGGTATTAACACTTGAGTTGTTTATTAATTAGAAAGATAACTTTCTGAAGATATGCATTCTGATGAACGGACATCAATGAGAATATTGTCGAGTGACATCTGAATTAGTTTACTACCATCCAGAAAAGATAAAAAAAACGAAGATACGTTTTAGAATGTTGATCTTACGAATTCAATGCCACATTAATTGTGGTTGCTAAGACTTTCGTGATATGGATATCGTTATTGTTGCTAACATTTTATAGAATGCATATTGTTCTTGTTGGAAATTGATCTTAATTTAATTGTGCTTATGTCAAATATGCAGATTTATGTAACCTAACTTGCCAAGGAAGACTAATTCTCAGGGGATCTTTTGAGAGGAACAAGTGCCTCTGGCATGCACTGCTTCCATTCTTATTTGCATGAGAATTGTCAAAATGGCTGTAGCAGTTGATCAACATCATGGATTCAAGACATTTAGCCGATCCCAGAGATGCAGATTACAGTCCTACACTCAACTTGATTATAACATTCTTGCCCACTCCTTAAAACATGCATTCGGTAATGCTAATTTTCACAAAAGCTTCTCCACCCCATGTCTATCCCTAACCACTGCATCAGAGGAAGATTTTGACACTAATCCAAGAATTGAGATTGTTGGTGGCAGTAGGATACCTAGGGTACATGCTCTTGTAGTCGAGGTTGCCATATCTATGGCGTCTGGTGCCGACCTCCTGCCAGTGTCAAGTGGACTAGGCGGTGCCTACTACTTATGTAGCAAAAATGGTGACAATATTGCTGTGGCAAAGCCCATAGATGAAGAACCTTTAGCTTTCAATAATCCTAAAGGTCTCGGAGGCAGGATGCTGGGCCAACCAGGTTTGAAACGCTCAGTTCGGATTGGTGAATCTGGAATCCGAGAATTGGCAGCATATCTCCTTGACCACGGTGGATTCGCTGGTGTTCCTCCAACAGCTTTAGTGAAAATTTCTCATGTTGCATTCCACATTAACAAAAATGCAGCCGCAATTTCAGCTTCACCCTATAAGATTGCTTCTCTGCAGCGCTTCGTGGATCATGACTTTGATGCTGGAGAGTTAGGTTCTTCAGGCTTTTCAGTAGCTGCTGTCCATCGTATTGGAATTTTTGATGTAAGACTCCTGAATCTTGACAGGCATGCAGGCAACATGCTTGTTAAGATATACGAGCAGCACAACTATGCAGCTGGGGTGCTTGAGCTTGTACCTATTGACCATGGTCTTTGCCTTCCTGAGTGGCTTGATGATCCATATTTCGAATGGTTGCACTGGCCTCAAGCTTCAGTTCCTTTTTCCGAGTCTGAAATCGAGTACATATCCAAACTTGACCCCCACAAAGATGCGGAGCTTCTACGAACTCAGATTCCTTCTTTACGGGAGGCTGCTATCCGTGTTCTTGTGCTATGCACCATCTTCTTGAAGCGGTCTGCTGCTTCAGGACTCTGTCTTGCTGATATAGGAGAAATGATGACTCGGCAGTTCTGTGCCGATGAGGAAACGTTGAGTACATTGGAGAATTTGTGCATGCAAGTTAAGAATGCCATGCCTACTAGAGACAACGAGAAGAAAGGAGAAATTGGAGAAGTTGAAATATTTGAATCAGACAATGAAAGTAAAGAAGGGTTTAATGAGGATATGGATCTTCCGAGCCATCCAGAAATTATCATGTCAAGGTTTTCATCAGCGGGATCAATGACTGGGTTGACCGATGCATCTCTGTCTCCTCTATTCGAGGAAAATGATCAAACTGTTGACAACTATGATAGAAACACTATAATAGGCAGCAACAATGTTGGTGATGATGGAACTACTAGTGATGGTGGCGGTCGTAAGGTAGGGGTTTTGATGAAGAGCGGGAGTTTCTCAGCAGCGACCCTCAGTTGTGAAACTGGGGAAGCAATAACATTTGGAGACATGAGTGGAGACGAATGGGAATTGTTCTTGGACCATTTTGACAAGTTTTTGGCGCACAAACTGGAGGAGGGCAACAAGTGCTTGAGCTCGAAACTGAGGTTGGGAACTTCCTGCAACTTCTGAGAATTAATCTTATGGAGTGACTGTACATTATTGTCAAATGAAACGATGCTAGATAGAGTAGATTGTAAATAAATACATACCATTTCACCGATTTACCAATTTACCATAGGTAGGTACAACCTCTAAAGGAGGAGTTGAGATCGGTGGAAACGCCATCCTTCCTTTCTATGTACGTACCTGTCAGTCTTCTACGTTATCTTGTATTGTTGCCCTGCACTGGCATAGAATTGCTTCTCTTGCACATGTTTTTGCTTGGGAAGGATTGAATTGTTCAGACGGTTGATATTGTTAACAAGTTTTCTTTCTTTTATTTATTTTTTTCTTCCAAAGTTACTCTTTTTCTTTTTGAGTTAAATAAGAATTTGTTGAGATTCAGGTGATCAATTTCAATCGAGTTAATATTACTTTATCTAACCCAACTCACCTATTGGATGGGTGGTCGGGTTTCTATCCAAAAGTAATTTGTAAATTTTACAAACCTATCCATTTCAGTAGAGTTGGTCGGTAAACCTAGTAGAACGTCAAGGACGTTTTCGTAATTTTCTAGCGTTAGGGAATAAAATAGGATTAAAATTGGAATGGGATGTGACAAGTAAACCCACTAGAATGCCCACCCTAATTAAAAGAAGTAAAAATAGGAGAGTGAAAGAGAGATTAATTCGGACTTGCTTGCAAGGAATTTGAAGACTAAACGGTACATATTCTAGTTTACTCCAAAATGCATGGTTTTTAGTAACAATATCCATCCTCAACGGGAACAAATTGCCTCTCAGATAGATAGTTAGGGGTGATGTGATATAAACTAACACACAAATTAAACCATTTTTAGACAATTGTAGTATGCGTAAGTAGGGATTGTTCTAGGCTGGGGATTAGAAGGGATGCTAATCTACACTTATTTAACTCAAAAATAGAAAACTAGACTCAAACAACTCAGAACAAGCTAAACTGACTCAAATAACACAAAACTAAGTTAAATTGACTCAAAACAGGAACTAGAGGGTGATTTGAATGAAAATTGACTAACTTGACTCAAAACATAAAAGGGGAATGTGTTTTGGCGAAAATTTACTTAAAACTAATAAGTTGCAGAACTAAGTAAAGATTGCACGAAATTAAGGTGACTTAAGGGGTGAAAGGCTAGCTAGAGGATTCTTCTCCACACATGAACCATATGCATACAAATCAATTTCCAGTTATTTTTCCTATAAACCATGAATGACAATGCCCCAAATTAATCGTGAACAACACTAATTAACTCTCAGATTTTCCTAATTTCATTGAATTGGACTCAGTGACGCAATCAAATTATTCTTATCAAGTTCCGTATATGAACAGCATGAAAGAGATACATATCAAAGATCAGTAAGTTCTATGAAAATCATAAGCATTGACAAGGCATTCACAACTATGAAAAGCATGATACTCCTACCATGGATTTACATAACGCAATCATGACTAGTGACTTTTACTACTTGTGAATATAAGTTCATAACTATTAGGTGAAATTCTCTTATATTTTAACATCAAATTCGTGCATGCAAACTTAGTAGGCCTCCTTAATAAACATACAAGAATAAGTTCTCTATAAAACAGATAAGTAAATCGCATTCATGTTTTATGAAACAATAACTGGATGTAATCAATTCATATAACACATATGTTCATGGCTTTGAATTCACCTCTAGCTAAAATGAAATTAGTTCCGCATGTTTGCAATTAAACAAGACCAATCTAATTTAAAATTTAATTAAAACTAAGGATAGAAAGAACCCAGAAATGCTCCAGCACTCTAATGACCTTGGATGGCAGGTCATGACACAGAGCTCTTCTTCTCCTTCCTTCCTTGCAAAGTTGCGGCATTATGTGTTCATTTTTCTAAATTTCTCTCTTTAGCTCCCCCTTTATGAGGCAAATGTGTGGTGTATTTATAGGGCTAGGAGGCACAGCAAAGGCTGTCAAGGAGAAGGATTACACGGTACAAACCAAGAAGGAAAAGGACTAGGGTGTTGCGGTAGATTCCTAGGGGAAAAGGGTTAGCTTGTGCGGCACAAATCTAGGGTAGAGGATAAGGCTTTTAAAACCAAATATTTAGTTGATTTAATGTGAAATTGATTTCCCCTTGCAGCTCGAATTAAGGTAGGATAAGATAAGATAAGGTTAGTTTGGATAAGGTTTAGATAAAACAGGACTGGATAAGGTCTCCTTGTTTTCAGCCGATTGCAAGCCTTAATAAATTCTTCCTGATTCCTTACACATTCCTAGCACCTTGTGATAGGAGCATATTCATGCGACTTAAATGGCTTGTTCTCGTGCATTTACGTTATGTTTCTTTAGTTATTTTAGTACTTTAAGCTATTTTCGTGTGTTTGTAGGTCCAAAGGGCTAAAGGAGCAAAAAGATGCATTTTGGAGACTTTTGGAGCACTTTTGGGCTAAGGATGGATAACCTATGCTTGGAGCCAAAGTGTTGGACAAAATTGAAGACCTAATTGAAGACCAAAGTGTTGGAACCTTGTTCCCTTTAGTTTTAGGACATTTAAACCTTTCCTATATCCTTAGCCGTGCATAACATTCCAACATTCCACTCCTTCATTTCAGCCACACTCCCACATATCATTACTTATCATCACCACTTATCACTTATCATAATCACCCATAATCATTCACTTAAATCAGCCACATGCATTCACCCTTTAATCCATGGCAGCCACCAACCAACCTAGCTGTCATGTTTCCCCTTTCATCATTCCCTCACATTCTTTAATTCAGCCAACACATGCTTACACATGCATTTTCAGCACCAAAGAATCATTGCACATGCATTTCCAACCCACATGCATCATTTAATCATTCAAACATGCAGCCACATTCACTTTACCTAGCTGTCATGTTCCCTCTCCCATCCATTTCATCATTGCACCACCAATTCAACACATGCATTCATCATAATTCACAAAACAAATCAGCCACAACACACAAACATCCATGCCGTGGGTTCCATTGCATTTCCAGCTATTCCACATGCTATTTCAGCCACATCCCTCCATAATCATTCAAATCCCTGCCATGCATATGCTCTTCCATCCATTCTCTCCCTATAAAAACCATACACACTTCACACAACATTCATTCATTCTTCCATACACATTTCAGTCACAAACACCAACCATTCCCTTATAATCCAAACACCATTCCTCCTTCCATTTTCACCACTCCCCCAAACCATTCACACCATCAAACTATCCTTAGACCTTGTGCTACAACGAAGAGGAAGATAAGAGGGCCTAAACGTTCATACAATTCAAGTTTGAGTTGTTGGAATGTTTAGGTGTTTCTTTGATTTCAATGTTTAATTTCAATACTCTTTGTTTTGTACGAATGAGGAATGGAAGAGAAGAGGACCTAAACGTTCATACAATTCAAGTTTGAGTTGTTGGAATGTTTAGGTGTTTCTTTGATTCTCTTTGTTTTGTATCATGAGGAACTAAACCCCCCCTTAGCTAGGGGGGGATTCGAAATATATGTTTATGCTTGCGTTTTGATTTGATTACTTCTAATTGCATTTCATAAGTCGTGGATTCAATTTGTTTAACTGTTTGATTGATAACTTATTTATGTATGTTTATTGAGAGTGCACGCTTAATTTTCATGCATGAATATGACGCTAGAATATAAGTGAGTTTCACCTAATAGTTACGAACTTATATTCACAAGTAGTGGAGGTTGCTTATAAACAATCGCGTTAAACGAATTCTTGGCATAAGTTTCATGCAATCATAGTAACGAATGCCTCGTCAACACTTATAATTTTCATAGAGCGTAATGATTCTTGCTTGTATCTCTATTATGCAATCATGTAGGGGACTTGTGGGAAATGTTTTGGGTTGTCGTATGCAATCATCCAATTCAATAACGTTAGGAAGATTTGAAGGTTAATTTAAGCGGACCTAATTAACCCGGGGTGATGAGTTTCATAATTTATTGAAATGCAATTGGAAATCTTTTTATTATGCAAGTGTAACATGTGTGGAGATGAACCCCTTGGCTAGCATCCATTCATTCCATTTCATCAATTTCATATTTACATTCTGTCTAGTTTATTAACTAGTTTCGTTATTTCAATTTTCGTCCAAAACAAATCCCCCTTTAATTTGAAGTCTTAGATTAGTTAGAAAGTGTTTTGATTTGTGTTTCTAAGTATTTTGATTCAAGTTTTCATCCAATTTCGTCCAAATTAGTGTAGGTGCTCAAAACTGCCCGGAAAGTGGTTTTTAGGCAGTTTTGGGTCTTCTAGTTGCTGTTTTGGGTTTTAGGTTTGTTTAAGTGTTTTAACTTTTAGTTTTGCATTCTTTGAGTCTAGTTTAGTGTTAAAGTGTCTTAATTTGTGTTTTAAAGTGTTTTGAATCAACCTATAATCTTAAATTCGTCCAAATTCACCAAAGTGCTCAAAACTGCCCAGAAAATGATTTTAAGGCAGTTTTGAGTGTTTTGGGTGATGTTTGAGTCTTTTGGTTTGTTTTAGTGTTTTAAGCGTTTAGTTTCGCATTCTTTGAGTTTAGTTTAGTGTTTTAAACTTTATTTTACGTTTTTGAGTCAGTTTCCAAGTGATTTGCAATCCCTCCTAATCCCCGGTTAAGAACGATCCCTACTTATATCTATACTACAATTGTCAAAAAGAGGGTTTAATTTGTGTGCGTATAAATCTCGCATCACCTTGTAAGCACCAAAAACGTCCATTCCTTGTGCTCCATACACAAGTTATCCATTCCAGCTCAAAACTGCTCCAAATTGCTTCAAAATGCCATTTCTTGTCACCTTTCCAATTGGACCTACAAACACACGAAAATAGCTTAAATTGCTATAATAAATAGAAACTAACTAAATAAATGCAAAGAAACAAGCTAATAAAATCGCATAAATATGCTCCTATCAAGGGGCAATTATGAGACCATGATTTTCCAGAGCTGGAGTAAGTCTAATCTGAATACTGTTACCTCAGAAGTCCGGTCATGGATTCACCAGCTCCAAGCAAAGCTATATCAGACAGAGCAGAGTGCCACCATCACTCTACTCTGGGGCACTAGGTAGAGCCCAAGTGACTCTATTGGATGAACATGCTTGTTCCACAAGACGCGCGATTTGATCCGGATATGGACAGTCAGATCTTATAAGTCTTGGAGTCCCTACAATCTAAGGATAAGCGTGTACCACAAGTAATCATAACTACTAAGAGGATGCAATATCTACTTACTAGATATTCTCTAGGATTCTCCCTATTTAGAACGAGAATTCTATACTAAAAAGTTCTCTCTGCGGTCCTAGGCTTGCTTATGATTGTATACTATTTTGTAGGATGCTCAAGCTTGTGCTCAACCACCGCTTATAGAGTTGCACAGATTTAGTTCCAACAGTTTATTCATGTTTGCTATACAATATGTACAAAAGAGAATGATCTCATGAATCTAACTTCTTTAGAGCACATTCTCCTAATTACATATTCCTTAGACTTATTGTTTATGAGTATAACATATTTATGAACTAGCTTTAAACAATAATTTTTGCTCATATATTAAATCTTGGAGGAAGAGTG